GGAGCAGGTTCGATGTCACTTGGGCAGGTGCCAGCCGCCTAGAGCCAGACTCCTGCCCATAGTGCCGAAAAGTCCTGCGGCCCATAATTTGGCCGACAGGCTGGCGCGATGGCGGCAGGCGTTAGGTACGCAGCTGACTTTTCTTCTTAAGCTGGTCTGCGAGGAGAGCGATCTTAGCTGCCCGGCTCAACCAAGAGCTGAGTGCTCTGTCCAGTTTTGGTCGTTGGTCAGGGCTCTTCAGAAGTGGACCGCCCCTCCCCCTCTCCAGCCTGACCTTGCGGGGGAGCTTGTCTGTCAGGAGGTCTGGCAGATCCGCTTGCAGACACTCCCAGGCATTCCTCTGGATGGCCTCCAGGAGATGGCCGAGGAGGCGGTCAGGCTAGGCCAATCACATGCTGCGCGTGCACGTTCGCATCACTCGAAGCAGTGGCGCCGATGGCTATCCGAGGTTCTCAGCAACTCAGCTGGGCCAGCCCATCGCCTGTTGAAGGAAAGCCGGAGCCACATTGTTCATGACCGCGTGCATTGCCAGGGCCGCATTGTCTCTGACTTGAGTGAGGTTTTGGATTTCGAGGCTGCCGCCTGGAAGGCGATCTGGGGTCGGCACTCTCGCGTCGAAGCCTTGGAATCACTTGCGCCACTTCGCTCTGAGGCCCAGGCGGCGCCCATGATGGAGCCGATCACTTTAGATATGCTTGATGCGGCTCTGGCCACGATTCTGGATGCCAGGGGCAGGGGCGCCGATGCCTTTAATCCCCGGCTGCTAAAGGAAGCTAGCCAAGAAGCCAAGTTTGCCTTTATTGGTCTTCTGGGGGAGGTCGAACGCCATGCCACTCTTCCCTTGCAACAGCTTGTCAGCCTCGTTGCGCTCATCGATAAAGAGGATGGCGGGCTCCGCCCTATGGCCCTCATGGGTTTCGCGCATGTCCTTCTCATTCGTATTCGTCGGCCGTATGTCTCGATTTGGGATCGCACTGCTGCGGGCCCTTGGGACAAAACGGTTGGGTCCTCGGCGGAAGTGGCCGGTTGGCTCGACGAGTTGGAAACAGAGTTGGCTCCCCACCGTGGGTTCGAAGTCGGTGGTGGCCATCTCGATTTACGCAAGTTCTACGATCAAGTCGCCATTCCTGACCTGATCGAGGCTTCGAAAGCCTTGCGGTACCCCTTGAGGTTGCTGGTGCTAGCTATGGACGCCTATCTGGGCGTGCGGATGCTCACGTCTTCAGGCGCAGTCCACAGCGGCATTCTTCCCCACGGAGGCATTTTGCCCGGGCGCGGCCAACCCGTCAGTCAGGCTAGGGCGTACCTGCATGAGCCCATGAAGTCTGCTACCCTTTCAGTCAGCGGGCTCCGCCTCAGGGAATGGGTCGACGACATCTCCTTTCGACTGTTCGGCACCCATGCCAGTTTTTGTGCTACATTTCCGATTATTTTGCGCGCTCTTCTCATAGGTCTCCAGCGGCGCCATTGCGAGTTTTCTCTTGGTAAGTGCCGCCTCCTTTCTTCCTCAGTGGCCGTCCGCCAGGAGTTGGTGATTGCCGCTGAGAAGGAGGGCTTCAGGGGCATCAAGGGTGCTGCAGACGCTCAGGGCCTTGGTCACGACACCTCATTCGACGCTCGGCGCGTGACCAAGGTTCGCCAGAAGCGTTTTGAGAAGGGGGGGCGTGCGACCCCGAAGGTGAGCCATTTTGTTTCGTCGAGCCGTGGAGGCAGCAAGTTATTTCATACAAACTTTCATTCGAAGGCCGCGTGGGCCCCGGAGGTGCATGGGCTCTCTGCCAGCATGCTCAGACGCCTAAGGTCCATGGCTCACGCATGCTCCAGGTCCTCGCAGAAAGGGACTTACGCCACGACCGCCATCCGCCTCACATATGGCGATGGGCGGGACCCAGTGCAGGTCTATTTCAAGAGATTGTTGCAGGCCTGGTTGACGAGGCCGGCACACAGGCCGCTCCTCCTTGAACGAGCGCGGGCTTGTTGGGAAGCATTTTCGGCTATTTCTGGCAAAGGCTGGCGGTATGTCAAGGGGCCCATGGCTGCGTTCCAAGCCTCCACGTTGTCCATCGGATGGGCGGTGCCTGGCCCTGATCGCTTCGTTGATCCAGATGGTGACACGTGGAGCCGCGTTGATGACATGAAGGGTCAAATTACTTCCTTGTTGGAGGCTGTCAGCGATGGAATTGAGCTTCGCCAGTGGCGCGAGGCATCCAAGTTTTATGATGGTGGAGGAGCGGCTGAAGGTATTTACTGGCAACACGTGCCGTGCCTCCTTCGTTCCTCGGAGGAAAAAGGCGAGCCTTCCCTTGCTGGCTTGGTTCGTCTTGTTGCCTGTGGGGGCTACTGGCCAGAGCAACGATTAGCGGGCGCAAAGCTGGTCGCGAATGCCATTTGCCAGCGGTGCCATCGACTCGCCGATTGCTCCATTCATAGGTTTTGTGGATGCATGTGCAACGATGTAGCTGACAGCCCATTAGTACAGGAGACCAACCACCTCAGGCAC